TTAAGAAGTGTTTTACTTTCGGGTTTTTCATTTCTGTCTGTGACTATTGCTTTGCATTAATGCTTACACACTGATAAGACATGCATCAACATTTCATTTGGGGGCACGTGGACACCCCATTTTACCTGCGTTATTAGTTGAAAAAAAAAAAAAAAACCACACATACATATTTTGTTCACTATATTTCCTTTGTAAACATTTAAATTATTCCTGCGACCGACAGCCTTTGTGGTTGTTTTCTGGACTCATTCTGCTTCGTTCATCGTTTCCTGTCTGGCTGTATTCCGACTCCAACCGCATCGCGATGGTTAAAAATAAGTCGTGAAATCAGAGCACAGAAGACTTTCTATCCGGGTCCTTCTGAACTGTTTGGCTCCTGTGAGTCCTTGGCATGTTCGCACGAACCTCAGAATCAATTTGTTAAACACATTCCACCCAAATATCATGCTGATGTTTTGGTTGGGATGCATATCATCTTTAGATCAATCTGGGGGTCACCTGGCCCCCCAACAGCAGAACCCCCATTTTTTTCCGTCTTCTCCATTCCCCCCGGCTTCCAGTTCTCTGTCAGATTGCTCTGATGAGTTTGCGGCTCTTGGTACCTTGATAGAGTACGATGCATTTATTTCCATTTCCAGCTGTCTGCCGGCTGTGTATTAAAAAAGTACAAACGACCTTCCTAAGTGGATCCTGCATCTTGCAACCTCGCTCAGCTCATTTATTATTTAAAGGGACCCGTCGGCAGGTGGAGGCTCGGAGGAGGCGAGCTGGGCCCACACCTGGAGTGCGGGGTGCAGGGAGGGCGGGAAAAGTGAGCATGAAGACAAACAGCATTTTCAGACAATATTTTGCAAAGCCCAGTGAGAGAGCAACATCGTGCGGGCGGGAGGCCTGCGTTAAGGAAAGCGGTTTTCCTGGGGCTGGCAGGTTTCCTGCCCAAACAGTCTGGGAAGGAGACAGCTCTGCCTTCCCCTAGCTGCCCAGCTCTTCTCCTTTCTTCTCTGACTGATCAGGACAGGTGCTTGAACCCGGGGATGGGGGGAACGGACGTGGCGAAGCCACTTGATTCTCTCAGGAAGCAGCCGCCAGCCTCTCCCCATCACTATGGCCGCTGCTGCTTTTTACTGCTTGTGGCAGTTCCAGGAATTACCTTTGTGTTCTTAGCTCTCCGAGGTCTCTTAAAAATTCCAAAGAGATCTGTGGATTTCCTTCAATGTCCTTTTTGTGTGTTTGGTCTATGGAGAGGAGTATAAAGGTTATGCCGTGGATGCTATTAACATGTAGTTTGTAATTTACACAATTACATTCTATTTGTTTTTTATCTTCTTATGTTTACTCATCCCGGACATTTCTCAGACAAAGGCTGGCAGGCTTCACCGGGTGCCCAGGGCATCCAGGGAGGACTGTGTTCGGAGGCTGCTGGTGGGGACAGCGCCCCCTGGGGTCTTGATAAAGAACTGCTTCTCATGCGCAGCGCTGACCTCCTGGTGAGGACAGAGGGGGCGCTGTCACACAGCACGGTCCCGAGCCCGCTGCTCCCCTCCCTTAATTTCTCTAACGAAGCCCGCGTGCCTGTCTGCACCGGCTGAGCACGCTGAGCCCAGCCTGCTCTGACTCCTGCCCGTCCTCCACCCAGGACCGAAATGGCAGGCTTTGCTCACGGACTCCGTGTATGCAGACAAAAGGCAGCGTGTATTTTTTTTTTTTTTTTTTTGGGGGGGGTAACATTTTCTTTCCAAGCTAAAGTAGATGATTTCCAAGGCTTCTGCAGGAAGAATAAAGGATGCACTTAACGCTGATTCTTGGAAGCCCTAATTATACAGCACGTCTCGTCACGAGCTTTGCCAAATTGCAGCTTGGGAACAAAAAAGAACGCTCTTCGTTCGTAATAAATTGTCACCACAAGGATCAGGTGCCAAGCCGAACTCACAGGGACAGAAAAGGCGGCCTGGGGAGCCGAGCAGAGCTGGCTGAGCGCAGGCTGCACGGCGGGCGGCTGGATGGAGCCCACAGCGCCATCAGCTCTGCCCCCTGTCCCTGAGCCCCCAGCGGAGCCTGGCTCCGGCCTCCTCTGCAGGCGAGGCCCGGCCTCCTCTCTCCTCTCTGCAGGCGAGGCCCGGCCTCCTCTCTCCTCTCTGCAGGCGAGGCCCGGCCTCCTCCCTCCTCTCTGCAGGCGAGGCCCGGCCTCCTCCCTCCTCCCTGCAGGCGAGGCCCGGCCTCCTCTCTCCTCTGCAGGCGAGGCCCGGCCTCCTCCCTCCTCCCTGCAGGCAGAGGCCCGGCCTCCTCCCTCCTCTGCAGGCGAGGCCCGGCCTCCTCTCTCCTCTCTGCAGGTGAGGCCCGGCCTCCTCTCTCCTCTGCAGGCGGAGGCCCGGCCTCCTCCCTCCTCTCTGCAGGCGAGGCCCGGCCTCCTCCCTCCTCTGCAGGCGAGGCCCGGCCTCCTCTCTCCTCTCTGCAGGTGAGGCCCGGCCTCCTCCCTCCTCTCTGCAGGCGGAGGCCGGCGGCCGAGGGCTTCCAAAGATGCCCCCCACCGCGCGTTCCTGTGAGCAGCCGGCCTGGCAGGCAGTCGCCGCGGGAGGCGGCTCTGCCAGGCCTGTCATCAGAGGTGTGGCGCTCGGCGGCGAACAAGGCGGGAACCCGGGAACCCGCGGTGCGAGTGATAATTAATGCGAAGGAGGAGGGTCCCCTTGCAGCAGCTCCTGCCTTTGTCCTCGGTGACTCGGTGACTCGGAGGCGCTGGGGGCTCCCTGGGCCCGGGCTGCGTCCTGCACACAGGTCCCCCCCCCCCCCCTGGGCCGGAAGGGAGCTCTGTGCCCGGGTGAAAGGGGGCCTGTCCCCCCAATTAGCCCTCAGAACACCCCCCCCCGGGGTAACGAGCACACGGACATGGAGAGGAACCAGGAACGAGAAGAGCACGCGGTGTTTGCTCAGAAGAGAAGGCGTCAGGGGAGAGAAAACATTTCCAGGGAGATGGGCCTCTCCTTCCCGTCTGACCTTGGGACCAGCCAGCCAGGGCCTCCTCGTCCTGCTTCCTGTCACTCCCTGTGGCTTCATCACGGCGCCGTTGTCCGGACATCGGACTCCTGCCCGGAGGGAGCTCCAGGCAGACCCCGCTCAGCGCGGTTCCCCGGGGCGCACGGCCATCTCGGTGCCTCCGGGCGTCCCCGGGCACGTGTGGGCCACGCTGTCCTCACAGCTGTAAACGGCCCTGACCCTCTGCGGGCCGGACGGTCTAGGCATCACGGGCAGGGGCCGGAGAGGACGCCCTTAGGAGACAGGAGCAGGGGTGCGACAAGGAGCTGCCGGTTCCAACTCTGGCTTCAGCGTCGAACCGCTGTGTAAGCTTGGGTTTGTCCCCTGACCTCTGTGTGCCTCGGTCTGCTCATCTGTGAAACGGGGAAATGATCGTACCTGTCTTCTAAGGTTCTCAACAGATTAAATGAGTGGTTAAATGTATAAAGCATTTGGACAGAGTGAATATTGCATACATGTTCAGTTTTTATTATTACTAGTGGCCGGTGGGTGGATTCGTGCACACGGAAAGGGAATCTGGTGCGGGTGAACCAGATTCGGGGCCGACAGGGCCCTGGCTGAAACCTAACCTACCGGTCGGTGTGTCTGCCCCCCTGGTGGCCATTGTTCGTCATAGCTACTGGTTGAATGGTTGAATGGTCGAATGGTAGCTCAGGCTACCATTATTTTATTGCAGAACGACGTTCTACGTCCTTACATTTTGTCTCAAGGCAAGAGAAAATGTGGAAACACTCAGTGCTCTCTAGAAGCAAACAGGACTGGGTGGCTTGGGCAGCAGTGGGATATCCAAAGTCTCTTGTAAGATTTCCTTCTATCAGTTTTTTTTTGGGGGGGAACCACAAATTTCATTCGATTTTAAAATATATATAATTAGAATACATGACATAGTCTTATTTATCTATGAACGGATGTAAAAAAAAAAAAAAGTCTACAACGTACACACAGACATTGCCCTAAACTTCAATTTGCCACCAGCTGATTCCGAGATTCAGAAAGAAAGGGAGGAAGGGAGGGAGAAAGGAAAGGGGGAGAGAGAAAGAGAGAGAAAGAGAGAGAGAGAGAGAGAGAGAGAGAGAGATGTGTATGTGTTCACTTGTGTATTTGTGTACAGGGGGGGAGGGGGGAGATGGGAAAGAGAGAACGAATGAATAACCGAAGAACAACTCCAGCCAGTCTCTGAGGAGAAACACTATCTCCAGGGGAAAAGCTACAGGCGATGGAGAATCTGTGAGCCCGGTTTTACGGTGACATTTGTGCTCGGGACTTTAGAAGTAAAAGGATCACTGACTTGCTTTGTGTGAAGGGCGCTCAGATTATTTGGCAAATTATTTTCCATGAAAACGCAGAGATACACCTTACACGCAGGCCCGTTTCCAGTGACTGGCAGCTGCCGCTCCTCAGCGAGGTGCCGCCTTCACACACACCAGCGTGGAGAGGGAAAAGCAGCCAACAGTGCCGCTGTCCCCCCCCCCCCCCCCCCCGCCCCTGCCACCGCCTCCTCCCTCTGCAAGGCCCAGGCATAGCCCGGCCTCGCACGGCAGAGAGGGCTTTATGATTCTTGAGCTTTTCTTCCTTTTTTATCTTCCTGTGGATCAGCAAAGCCACAGCAGATGCTTTCATAAAATACACTATAGGCATTCATATTTATAAGCCTATGACTGATGTTTAAATAAACATTGGGCCGAAACCGGTTTGGCTCAGCGGTAGAGCGTCGGTCTGCGGACTGAAAGGTCCCGGGTTCGATTCCGGTCAGGGGCATGTATGTTGGTTGCGGGCACATCCCCTGTAGGGGGTGTGCAAGAGGCAGCTGGTCGGCGTTTCTCTCTCATCGACGTTTCTTGCTCTCTATCTCTCTCCCTTCCTCTCTGTAACAAAGCAATAAAAATATAAAAATGAATAAATAAATAAATAAACAAACATTGGCCAGCCTGACGCTGATCCCTTTGTTTCAGACGCTACGTGGCACTTACGTGGTCCGGGAAGTCGGCCTTGAGCTCCCCGACGCTCTGACACCAGTAGGCGGCCGTCTTCTCGCTGATGAGCTCGATGTTGAGGAAGGAGCTCTGCCCGGGGCCGAAGGAGGGGCCGGACGTGGTGCCCCGGACGATTCTGGGCGAGACGTTGGTCACGATGTCCTGGTGAAAGACAACGACACTGAGCCTCCGGCGGACACAGAAAACCTGTGATCTCATTCCACGCCCGTGTCCACGGGAGGGCGTTACCACGCCCCTGCTCACATCCTGAGAGAATTCTAAAATATATTTTATCAGCACTTCAAACAAATCTTTATTGTTGGAAGTTTCACACATGTCCCTTCCCCCCACTGACATATATTTTAAATAACAGTGGAGCTGGATGTGAGGGCGATCTGGCTGCGACATCTGTCACCCCATTGATGGCCAGGGTTGATTCGGCTGATCTGGCTGGCTAGGCGGGTGTCCCCCTCCTCCCTCACCGATCCATGTGCGTCCCTCCCGAAGCTGCGTGCTCGGTCGAAGAGGACGACTTTCCCCCAAGAGGAGAGGACCGGGCTTCGGTCAAGGGTATACGAGTAGCTGCACTCCCCTGCTAGAACCTCCAAATAACAGTGGAGCTTTAACTCGTCCCACATGCAAGAGTGAAATCAGTTATTTGTTAGCTGTATTTAAATTACATCCTGTGATCAGCAGAGGGAGAGAAGAAAAGTAAATTCATTCTTACTGGTGCCGGGCCTACACATTTAAATTTATTTGCAGTTAAGTAATAGAAACATGAGGAGTATCATCTCAGCCCATTTAATCCAAGTATCTCCAATGAGATTTTGATTCCCAGGAATAGGAGTTCATGTTTATAGAGTAGATAGTGCTCAGGTAACAGCCAATGAGCACACACTGGTGCTGCCAGCTCCTCGGCGTGAACACGCCCGAACCTCTAACTGGGTCACCCACCCCAGGACTCCACTCCACAACCCTCTCTGCCCACCCCAAACCTTCCGAGCACCATAAGCAGTAAACCGCCCAATTAACCTGCTTGTTAAGTCTAATTAACGACCCACCGCAGCTTCTATCGCTTAACAACAACAAAGGAAACACGCTCACCCTACCAAAATCCGAAACAAAAAGAAAACAGTGTCTTCAGCCAACTTCCAATTAAAATCAGTTCTGAGGAAAGGTCACTTACTGAAGGATTTTATCAGAATCAGTCATTTAAGTACCCCTCCTCACCATCTTGTCACTTCTAGGAAGATAACATGAACCCCCATTAGTAGATAGCAATTAAGGTCAATTTACATATTTTAATTAAGAACCACCCCATATAAAACAATTAGCGTAATAGGCATCCTAACTGGATTTCATAACATTTGGACGTTTTTCCAACTAGATAGACAGGAAACCTTAATTAGCATTAATTAGTACTGATCTGCATATGTTTGATAAGGCATACCCTTGCCACAAAAGATTATTTATTCCCGAATCTGCCAAATGCTACAGTTGCCGAGGATAAAAGGACTTTTCTTCCCGCAGCATGATAATTCCTGGCAATTCACATTCACTTTTACATTCGAATTAGTATATTATAACATAGCTGGGATAAATGTTACAATCAGCCTCCTTAAACATGTACATTTTTACTTACAGGAACCCTGCCAGTTAATGTTTTACTAATTAAGCCTTTTCACGGCTATTGTCATTGTGGGCACCATCCCAGCCTCACTGTGACTTGCTGTTAGGGAGCCTAGTTCCAGGGTCTCAGTGGGGTCACTGTGCGGCCCTGTGGGTCAGGATTCTGTCGCTGCCAATGCTGAATTCCACGCTCCGCGCCCCTGCACCCGAGTTCTGCGACCCCGTGCCCCTGCACCCCTGAACCCCTGAGTTCTGCACCCCTGTGCCTCAGTGCCCCTGCACCCCCTCTCCCCGGGACCTCTGGTGCTGGGAGCTGTGGTCCGAGGAGACCTGTCCAGCTCCCCCTGGAGCTGCCAAGAGCTTCCTGCCGCTGGCCCAGAAGGCTGGTCTCTGACTCTAAGATCCGAACAGGAAGTCTCCGTCCAGATACAAAGCCTCCTGGAGTCTTGCTTTGTGCAGGTGGTGGGAATCCCTGGCCGTCCCTGGCCCCTGGGGGACGTCTGGATGTCCCCCTCTCCCCTCAGGACCATAACCCACTACAGCTGCCTCGGGCCTGTGCCGGGGCAGAGCCACTCCCGCGGAGTGCGCACAAGTGTAACACCACCAAACAAGACACGGGCGGGAAGACGGGCGCCCAGACTAAGCCTGGTCCCCCTCTGAGCCACGGGCTCTCTCCCGGGTCCTGCGAGCCACGCTGGCCAGAGGGCCAGTGAGCTAACACTTTCCCCGGAGGGCGGTCAAGCGAGCAAAGGCTTCTTTGTGAAAATGCGCTCTCCCTCCCCGCACCGCACCTCACACCTTAAAACGCCACGTCGACCTGAGAGAGCATCCCCTCTGTGCAGAGGCAAGCTCACCGCCAGTGCTGGGAGGTTTGCTTTTCTGGGACGTGGTGCTGAGCTGTAAATCTCCCAGGATCTCCTGAACCAGGACGCAACGGGGACGAAAAATCCCAGCAAAGAGTCCTCACTCCCCTGTGCGGATTCCTGATAGCGTTTCCTGAACAGGTTAGTGTTCTTGTTCTTTATCTCAAGCAAAAACAAACAAACAAAACACACAAAAAAACAAACAAGCAAACAAAAAAACCCCCACTCCCTTTAATAATCAGACAAATGGCCCGGCCAGTGTGGCTCAGTGGTTGACTGTCAACCTATGAACCACGAGGTCATGGCTTGATTCCCAGTAGGGGACAGTTGATCAATGATTCTCTCTCATCATGGATGTTTCTCTCTCTCTTCCTAGTCTGTCCTCTCTCTGAAAGCAATAAAAAATGTATATGTAAAAAAAAGACACAGGAACCAACTGTCCAAATTACAGATGCCTGCTGTGTAGAACCTATCAACGACCCATCATAGCAATGTGAAAATGCGGCTTATTCCAAATCCAACCACAGTGTCAAGATTCATGCTCACCCAGCCATCACCCAGCCATAGAAGTTTTATCCTTGGCGCTCTTTACCGCACCGTCGAAACCTTCCCCCTGGCTGGAGGCTCCTTGCAATTTTTAAATTAAGTGCAAGATGAATGAAGACTCGGATACGACCAATTATCCCTGGTTATTTGATTAGAGTTTAGCGTTAGAGCTTCAATAATTGGGCAATAACTTACTGGCGCTTTTGACCTGGGAATTTGGGTTTAATTCTATGAGATGATAATTTGCTTTAATATTTAGTAGCTCAGTCATATTAGCATTGCTTCGGGGAGCGAATGGAACAAACAAACACGTTCCAGAGCCCTTCGAACAGATAAGAGCTCATTCTCCATAGCAGAGAAGATGGATTACCCAGTTCTCACCCCGGATGCAGGAACCATATTCAGATTTTTGGAAATGGATGGCCCTCCGTAAGGAAGCCGGGCGCCATTCTGCTCCGTGCGACACTGTCACTAATTATAAAACGGAGTGCCGGTGACCTCTGACCTCGGAGTGACGACGGCGATTTTTCAGCATTAGTAAAGAGCTTTGAGTGGTGAACAGACTGATTATATTTGTTTAAGTTCATTTACTTGACCTCTCTTAGCCTGGAAGACTACAGCTGTTTCCATGGTTACCAGTGGATTAAGATAGTCACCATGGTCTCAGCGCACAGAAAAAGGACACTTTGCAGTGATGACTTGCTAAGAGACGGGGAGAAGAAATGGGGTCCAAAAGAGTTGGATGAGAATAAAAAATAAAATGTATCGAGGGAACCATAGCTACTGTTTCGGAGCAGATGCATTTGAGAGAGAGAGATGTTATTGAACGAAAGAGCAAAGTGGGAAAACATACACAGGATATGGTACCTAAAGCCAGCCGAGCACTACAACGTTGACAGCGGAACGTACTGTGTGGCTAAGCATGAGCGAGACAATAATTAAAAACTATGTAGGCGCGTGGCTGCCTGCTGGCAGAGGCAGGAGCTGGGAGGAGTGGGGAGGGGGGGTCTGTGAGCGACAGGCAGTCTTAGGACACTTCCTCCCGGAGAGGCTGGGGCACGGAAGGAGGGAGGACCCTGCGTGGCGATGTGGGAGCACAGCGCACACCGTCATGAGCGTCCGAGAATGTGTAACGGGCACCCCTGCACCCCTGCAACTGAGATCCTTTTTAACACCCGAGATTCTCCTGGGAGCTGGTTGGTCTTAACAAGCCAGTCTTTTAATGGCTCGGTTTTCTGAGCTGGAGTTTCGGGAATGACAGGCCCTGCAGCCTAAGCTGTTGGTGGAGAGCCACCCCTCTCTGCAGACGTGGGACTTCGCTCCACATCATCCGTGACACCGGAGGCCCGTGGCCAGCGATGGCGCAGCGGGCGCCCGGTCAGAGCACGCTCCCTGGTGACAGCCGCGTGCCGCTGCCCTGGACAGCGAGAAGCACAGGGCGCCTGGCCAGCGGCCCGTTCCCAGTAGCCCCACCGCCAAGGCCTCTTCCATTTTATGCTCTCACGAACTAAGGATATTAATATTTGATTATTCTCAAAAAACACACTTGATATGGATGATCTCCTGCGGGCTGTTTGGAGGGTGAAATGGGGAGGAAGTTTTCCATCCTGGTGGCTTAAAGCAAGACAGGCTGGCCAACGACCTGGGCACCACGAGGTCACGGTTCGATTCCTGGGCAGGGCACAGGCCTGGGTTCACAGTGTGGGAGGTGCAGGAAGCAATCAGTCCATGACTCTCCCTCTTCGTGGATGTCTCCGTCTCTCTCCTTTTCCCTTTCCCTCTAAAATCAATTAAAAAAAAAAAAAATCAAAAACAGCACCCGAAACCCTGCAGGAGTGACCACATCTCTCCATTTGCCCTCAGGGCTGTGAACCTACGCATCCACACGGGAAAAGTCGAACAGGATGTGAGAGCCCAGGCTCTCGGCGCCATCACCGGCCCGGCCCTCACACGCCGGACCTGCTGCTCCCGCCAAACCGGCCTCCGAGACACCAGCGTGCCGGTCACTGCTGCAGCCCGTCCCATTGGAGGTGGGGCCAGAGTCCGGGGTGGTGATGTGATAGGGAGAATAATAATGATGATAATTATCATCACCCCTCAACGCCTGATGTATGTGACAGCAAC